TTCATCCCCAAAGGGATATACTATAAGAAAAAATTGATTTCACGAAATAACTCTTTTACAAGATTCATTAAATATGTAGACAAATGTCCTTCAAATTGGTACTATTAATGTAATATCGATACAACTACCCCATTTAAGTCTATAATCTATGATTAGACCAAGAAATTTTAATTGAAAATGACTATTTAACAAAGCATATAAAATTTTAGTATGTATATTTAATTACAGATAACCTATTCTTACAAAACCAAGCGTACACATTATTTAAAATCTTATTTGACTCCTAGTATAAATTGCCAATTGTTGGTTTAGATAATAAAATAGCAGTATCATCCGCAAAGCTTAGTAATTGTGTGTCTATGTTTGTTTTTATTCAGATCATTTGAAAAATTATAAATAATAAAGGATCTAACACAACAGTATTATCCTGTTTCCTGTGGTACTCCAGAAGTTATGCCTCGAGTTTCACTAGAACAATCATCAATTTTAACTTTTTAAGTTCTATCACGTAAAAAAGATTTTAACAGGTTATTGACTTTACCTAACCCGAATATTCTAACTATTTAAGTAATCACTCGTGATTAACGCAATCAAGTCTTTTGTACATCCAGAAAAATACACATAATAACTTTATAATTTTTATCAATATTTTTGTAAAAGAAGTTATCAACCCTAAAAAGTGCACCAGTGCATCAGTTGTTGACAATCTACAAAGTTCTGAAACCAAACTTTGAATTTGAAAGGAAAGATTTTATGTTTAAAAAAATTAAGTGCTGTTGTGATACATTTTTCAAAATTGTTTGATAAAGTTAATGATAGTGAGATCGGTCGGTAATTACCACATGCAAATTTATGACCAATTTAAATAATGGGGTTACGATAATTTTTCTAAAGCTAAAGTATTATGGCCAATTAATAAAGATTTATTTAAAATAATTGATAATGGATTTGGGAATTTCTTTAAGTATGTAATTTTTCAAATCATTTTTATAAAAATAATTATATTTTTTAATCTTATAAGCTTACTAATTTCTTCATTGTTCATTTGGATTAAGAAATATACTATCTATGTTATTATTAACATGTTTAAATTGTAAAATATCTGAATTTATAAGCTCTAATTCTAAATGATTTTCCACATTAGTCATTTAATTCATTACAAATTACAGTTTTAGATTCAGTAAGAATACCACCTTAATTTTTAATCTTATTAATTTTATTTTTATATTTGCTTGGTTTTCCTGTGATCTTATCAATAATACTTCAAGTCAGTATACTGTCAGATTTAGCTCGTTTAAGTTTTTTTGTAGTATATATTTTTTGACTTTTTAATCAATATGTTCAACATATTTCTAGATATCTACGCTGTAAAATTTTTTAAAATAAAAATCAAGAGGCCTATAACTCAGATAAGAAAATAGGTTTTCTCTATTTCTGATAGAAGTAATAATTCCAGTTGTGATTCACTCTTTTAAATTTAATAATTTGTTTGGCTTTTCTTTGTTTATAAAGTCAGAAGTATAGTTAATAAATTCTTTTATTTTGGAATTGAAAATATGAACCATATGATATACATTTGCAGAATCTAAACAAGAATGTTAGTTTTCTGTTTTAATTAATACATTTATCGAACTTATAGTTAATATTATTAGAAAAATTATAACCATTACACCGGCACACAAAAAAAATAAAGTAGAATGTGCATTTCACCGGACCTACCTACGGGTACGTATTTTGGTGCGCTGAATCCGAATTCAAGGTCAGTTTGACCCCTACACCCTCGAAATTTCGAGAAAACTTCGAAAAACCGCAAAAATGATGAAAATCGGCAGTTTTAATGATAAAAAAATTTTTTGGAACTAAACTAAGCGTGATTTTCATGTATTTCGATCCGCTGAATATGAATCGAAACTTTATTGAGACCACGAGCCGTTTTAAATGTGAAAAAATCACACAAAACTCTCGAAAATTCCGAAAAAATATAGTTTTCATGATAAAAAAAACTTCTTCTGGTCCAATTCAAATAAAATTTTATATCTTTTGATGTCTTCAATTCGCATCTTAATTTTTTTAGTCTACTCACCCTCTAGAGCTGGAAAAATTCAAAAAAATTGTAAAAAAGACCATTCATAACAGAAAAAAAATTGATTGAACATGATTTAATGCTAAAATAAAAACTCTATAACGTAGATAAATCAAATAACTTGAAATCTGTGAAAAACACAAGACATAAAAAGATAGAAAGAAATGATTTTTACGAATCCTAAACTTTCCTTCGTTTGTATCGCACTCTTTTATCCTCAAATGATCTTCGTAGTGGATTCCTCTTTCATTTACGATTTTCTTCGGGTACTTCTCTTTCTAACATCCAATAAAAATCTGCCATCATGTTAACACTCCAATTTCCTTGGTATCTACTCTCCATTTCACTGATATCTTGGTGAAAACGTTCTCCCTGTTCTTCACTATAGTCTCCACAATTGTCAGGGAAGTGGTCGAGATGAGAATCTAAAAAGTGTAATTTGAGATTCATTAAACAACCCAAATTTTTGTAGTTTTCCAGCAATGCGTCAACTAAAGTGCTGTAATCCTCACTTTTGTTATTTCCCAAAAAGTTTTGTGAAACATTTTTGAAGCTTACCCAAGCTGCTTTTTCTGTATCGTTCATTGTTCCTTCAAAATTTGCATCCTGAAATAAAGATCGTATTTGGGGTCCATCAAAAATTCCCTCTTTCAATTTCGCATCACTTATTGCAGGGAACTTTCCTCTCAAGTACGCAAAACAATCACCATCTTTATTCAGAGCTTTCACGTACTGTTTTATGAGTCCCAACTTGATATGTAGTGGTGGCAGCAAATATTTGGAAGGCTGAATTAAGGGTGGTCGTATAACGTTATGGGAACCTGGATTTAATGCAGATCTTGATGGCCATTCTTTTTTGACATAGTGATTTTTCCGGTCTCTGCTATCAAACAAACATAGATAGCAAGGATATTTGGTGAATCCCGATTGCTGACCTAAAAGAAGTGTTGCAATTTTGAGATCTCCACAAATTTTCCAGTTATGCTCTGAATATTTTATTTTTCCCAATACGATCTGTAAATTTTCATAAGTTTCTTTCAGTTTTGTCGAATGAGCTATTGGAATCGGCGCAAATTCATTCCCAATATGAAGCAAAACAGCTTTAAGACTTCGTTTCGATGAATCGATAAAAAGTCTCCACTCATCGTCCTTATACGTGTTCGGTTTCAATTCATCAACTAAAGCTCTAACATCTGAACAGTAAACCACCGAATTTTGATCGTCGTTCATAAAAAATTTCCGGAATTTCTTTTCCCTATTTCGATAGAATGTCACTGATACACCTTTAGCCAACAAATGTTTTTCTTTCAACCTTGACGCAAGTAATTCAGCTCCATCTTTCGGTAAAGCCAAGTCTCGAACCAGATCATTAAGTTCTTCTCGGCTAAACGTTTCAGGGTCTTTTGTTTGTCCGCCAGGTAAGTACTCTTCATCTTCTGAATATTCTTCTTCCGAACTTTCTTCAACTAGCGTATCGTCTTCTTCTACATCCATTTCTTCAACCGTATTAATTTCCTCGACAACTTCTATTTTTTGTGGCTTAATAGCTGATATAACATTGGCGTATACAATTTTGTTTTTTGTATTCCGGGTGAACCCGGTAGTATCTGTCATACAGAAATAACAATTCTGTAAACCAGTTGGTGAAGACCGTATCATTGGTATTGTGAATTTCAAGTTGTCCTGTTTCTTGTTTTTTTTCCACCGGGTTAACATTATGTTACATCGACTACAAATCGTATGTGGAACCCATGCTGAATCCAAATTAGTAATTTGGAGACGAAAACATTCTTCATAAATTTGTTTGATCTTATCAGAAAACGATCTTCGATTCCTTTCTAAATTGAATTCTCCACAAATGTAACAAAATGAATCAGGACTTTTATTACACATATGAGAATTACTTCTTGTAATAGTATACTCTCCAGTAGCCAAGTTTCCCACTTCTGAAGAGCTGCAGTCGCTGGATGACGACGCCTGCGGGCCTGCTTCCTCACCCTGACCAGACGCCGATACTGGGTTTCCGACTCCCTGCATCGTAAAGTACTTATCACTTGTACCTGCCATGACGGCACACACGCCGTTAACCCAGGGACTCTGCCAGATGGTTCTGTTGCCCACCGTCACCACGTGGAGGTGCCCTGGTTACAGGCACAAGCAATTTAGTCTTCAAAAGTCAGAAACAAGAGTGAAAAAAGAAAAAAAATTACTTTTTTCGGAATTTTGGAGGGTTTGTGTGATTTTTTTACATTTAAAACGGCTCGTGGTCTCAATAAAGTTTCGATTCATATTCAGCGGATCGAAATACATAAAAACCACGCTTAGTTTAGTTCCAAAAAATTTTTTTATCATTAAAACTGCCGATTTTCATCATTTTTGCGGTTTTTCGAAGTTTTCTCGAAATTTCGAGGGTGTAGGGGTCAAACTGACCTTGAATTCGGATTCAGCGCACCAAAATACGTACCCGTAGGTAGGTCCGGTGAAATGCACATTCTACTTTATTTTTTTTTAAAAAATCATAATTATTATTTATTCAGATATAGGGTTGTATACCTTGGCGGAAGTTAGTATTTAAGTAGAAATAAAAACACGATAATATAATTAACACAGTGACACACCATCACTTTTGTTTAATGCTTCTAAAGAGTTAATAGTTTTATAGCCATTTATTTAAATAAAAAATAATTTAGAAGCCAGGTTTTACATAATTCAATAATACTAAAATAATTATTTAACAATCCCATTAAAGCTACAATGTTTTATTAGAAATATTGTTGAAATAAGCCTTAATACCAAAAATATTAATTTGAAAAACTATCATTAACTAAAAAGATATCAACTATAGAATCAACATTTAATCAACATAAATCAGTTAAAACTCAGAATATTATTTTAGATATTAACAAATATGGTTTTCTCAATTTTAACTATTAAGCCATGATATTTAACTATTTTGTAAACATATAATTATTTTAATTTATACAACGGAATACATTAGAAAAATCTTTGAGAATCATTATATAATAGTTAATAGAAAAATATTACTCTCAAATAATATTTTATTATGGTTTTCCCAAATGTTAGTTAAGTGATCCTTTGCTTTTGTACATTTATCCACTCTGCAGCTTTTCTAAAATTCTCATTTATTCTCCACTTCTCCTGGTGTAAATTTTCTGAAATAAGTTTTATAATAAAAATTATATTTAATACACCTATATGAGTATACAAACTAAATATGCATAATTTTTTATAATCTAAAAAAAAATAAATTTAATAATATTGTCTAAAATGTACAAAATGTCTTATTTTGGGTCATAAGCATTAACGAATAAATAAATATTTTTCTTTGAAACTAATTGTTGCTGAGAGTTGTGAGTTGTATTACACTGGGTTTCAGTGATTTTGCATCATGTCATATAGGAGTCGATTTTGAATAATTCTAGCTTTTGACATGAGGACATGTCGCATAATTATCACATGGCCGGATAATCGAGAAACCACTGTATCTGATTAGTAAGACTGCAAAAAGTTAGTACATTCAATAAAAAAAACCTTTGGTTGGGTATACTTAGAATAATACAACTTAAAGAGGGTAGATTGCAAAAAATATGATATTTATGACAAATAGTTTATCTAGAGAACCAGAGTCAATCTAAACAAAGTAATTGAATATCAAATGTGTAATTAAGGTGTACACTAAAACAATAGACACATTTTTTGCCGCAGACAGTTTTTTTTTGTTCTTCAGTGTTATGTGTTTATTTATATATTCGTAAATTAAGTTTGATTATCCATTTCGCAAAGATAAGAAATTATTTATTTTTTCGAATTGGTGGTTCATTTATCAGTGTAACCCATGGTATAACCAATATCATATGAGTTTATAAGAAGCAGTGTAAATTTCATTACCCTTACACAATTCAATACTCACCAATAATAATGGTTATTATCATATGTCATAAAACCAAAGAAATTGTCTTGCAACATTAATGAAATGTGTATCATATAGCAAAACGGGATTGAAGTGCTCCGATACATTTTGGTGGTGACATATCAGAATTATCTATATACTCTTCAAATTACTATAATAACAAAAATAATACATAATTAATAGCTATAAGAATCTTTTCATTAATTTTTTTATTTTGTAAATAAATTCAATATAATTGGAATTGGCAATATAAATGTCCTCTACAGTCTACATAAATAGTACATTAATACTTGATTATTTATAATACATGTTGATTTAAATCAGGAATATTAACTTATAATCCTTATAAGTTCCAACTACCTTTTTAAATGTAGTAATTTTATTGACAAAATTAGCTTTTTTTAATAATAAAAATAAAGGAAAATTTCAGGGAAATCTTAATGTGGAACATTTTACATTTCTATCGTGGATTCCCAATACAGACCATAATAGGACAGTAGAGTGGTACCCATCCCATAATAACAAAATAAAATAATTAAGTAAATTTATGAAGAAAGTTGTAGATTGGGCATAATTCCCATGATTGATAACTTAATTAATAGAGAGTATAATTTGTCAACATAAATTGATGCTAGAAAAAAAAGATAACTGTTCATCAATACTCATAAATCATAATACATAAATGTTTAATTGGTTAAGGAATAATAAAACGTATGTTAAAAAATCAAGTATAATAACCTTTAGAATTGTGCTACTACAGTCTAACATGTAATTTATACAAAATGATTGTCTCATGCTAAATCCCAACACATTATCAAGTATACGTATCAAATAACAAATAAAGTAAATACTATAAGTTTCACATAGGTCACAAGGTTCACTATGTAATGTTAATACTAAGTAAATCAAATATTAAATATTATAGATGCGGCTTGTATTTATTAAGGTGTGTCTTAATAAAGATTTTGGATGTCATACTACCTACATTAGTTAAAACTTTGTTAATTAACTAAACATTGTTTTTTAATTAATATTGCACTTCTATATGGGCTGAATTGTTTTTGTGAACTGTACATTTTCAAGCTGCCTCTGACAAAATAGCATGATGTCTTAATATAAATTACATTAGGTAAATTAAAATTTTTAAGAATCTATACAAGAATAATGTTTAATTGTTTTATACCTTATTGAGTTAAATTCTATATAGTTGGATTGTACGTGGTATAGTGTGACATAGAAAATATCAATCAACACTCCTAAAAATTTCTACATTTATCGTATGGCTTAAGTTTAATTACTAATAATTAAGGAAGTTATTCTTATTTTTTACTTATTAGTACAACAAATTAAGCTGTTTACTGTTTTGTCATGTTAATAATAATTAATAGCTATAATATAGTTAAAACATAAAAGTATAAATTAACTTATTAATAATACAATTTAGGTACCACCGTTGTATGTCATTCACTATCGTCTATCAGCAATACAAATTCATTATCATCAATACAAATGCAATACATTTTAAGGCTATTGATAAGGATTTTAAATATTCAAATATTTTTTTTTGTGACGTTGGTGCTCGTGCGTGATGTTGATGATAAAATCGCTTATCATTTTTCGGCTAACTGCCATGTGCCCCCGTATATATTTTTCTTAAAGTTTCCCTTCTGGTTATTTTGCATTGATATCGGCCACCGTGATACCGGCTATACTATACAGTATAATATTTGTGATGATAACGTTACTATGGCGCTAACGTGCGCGTTCGGTCGATTCGAATAACAATATTAATATTGTGTTTGATCGAATGTTGTTGTAGTAGTAATAAGTTAGGTTTTCCATTTCACTTTGTTTCGTTAATCGTTGCTGCAGTTGTGGTGAACTCGTCGGAAGCGTTTTTGAACCGAAAATGGAAAACGGCTGCGGCGATACGTGCGGCAAGTACTTCAAACTGTTGCAAAGCGAGAACAGAAGGGTGAGAAAACAAAATCTGGATAAACTAATAGAACTGGTCGACGCGGACAACACCGTCGTGTCGACGTCCGCCTTTCTGACCGACGTCAAGACTCACGTGTACCCTCGTCTGAGCGATGATTCTGAAAGCTGTCGCGAGTCGGCCGTACAGCTGGTGAAACGTTTGGTGTGCCTTAGATGCGACAACGACGTCGCGTCCATCGTGGTCATAGTGCACAAGCGTATTGCCGGCGTGAGCACGACGGAGAATTCGGAAGAACTGAAACTGCTCTACGTCCAGCTGCTCAGGGACATCATACGAAATTACGGCGAACCTGTCGAGTCGTATTTAGACGAGATAGTGGCAGTTTTGGTTCGAGGAGTGTTGGACACTTGTCCGGCTGTGAAAAAAGAATGCTGTTTGTGTGCTGCCGAATTCGCTCGCACGGCCAAAAGGAAATTTCACATGGTAGCCGAAACGCTGATCGAGCCCATGTTGAAGGCGACCAAGTACCATCAATCAGCAATTAGGATCACTGCGATCGAATCGTTGGGTAACAGCGCAATATAATGTACACGATACTTATACGGTTTTATTAAATAACGCAATCTGACTTTGATTTTCAGACGACGTTGTTATGTACAGTAATGGAAAACAAGTTGCCGACATTTGTAATGGTCTCGCCGATAGACTTTTCGATCAGAACGTCACAGTGCGACTCACTCTTTGCCGGGTCGTATCCAACTGGATGTTACGTTTACCCGACAGATATTCTTTTTTTCCAAAACTCGTTCCTTTAATACTGTCTGCGTAAGCTCAACATTTCGATAATCTCTCCTAAATAGTATAACTTTACGTTAATACAATACAAGTATTTATTTTACAGTCAAGTCGATGACCATAAACCCAATCGTGAGGAGGCTGAACGCTTTTGGGACGAAATTGGAAATTTGTATTTAAGTGAAAACGAAGAAAAACTCAAAGACAAAATGGACTTTTTACCAGAGAAGCTGGACCATTATCCCCCTAATGGTAATTTTGTATGAAAAAATGTTTTTTTAAAATTATTTTCCATAGTTGTTTAACTTTGTATGGCTTTGTTTTCATTGTAGTTAAAAGACCAAATTTGGGTTGTCGCACGTTAGTAGCTCGAGAAGTACTAAAATTGTTGCCTGTTATAATACGTGAATTAGACGACTGGGTATATTTAAAACATTTTAAATTGTAATCTCACCCTGATAAAATATTTTACCGAGCTTTAACTTTTAGAAAGAGGATATTTGTATCAAATCGGGCCAGCTACTTTGTGTGGTCGCTTTGAATGCTGAAGAATCGATCATTCAACATTTCAATCAGCTTTTAACAGCTATGATAAAATGTTGCCGTGAAACAAACCATGTAGCGTCGAGTCACGTATGTCAAAATCAGTTATGTTTTTTCATTATTCTTTTTAAAACTTTTTTTTACTGTGTACTCAGGTCAGGAGTGCGGTGGAAATTATGAGTTATTTTGTATCGCCAGATGTGTATTTAAAATTTATATTGCCATTGTTGACGGAAAGTGATACGCACACAGGCCACATGGTTATCTTAGCCGGTCTGTTGAAAAACAGCTTGCCCAATGATCTCGCCAAACACATTGAAAACTTAGCCACCACTTTGGTTTTGCCAGAAATATGTGAAATACACGACCCGTTGTTCAAAACATATTTATTACAAGTAATCGAATACATGTTGAGCATTTGTAAATTGGAATGCCAAAAACATTTCTACGAACTGTTCAAAATTTACATTACGGTACAATCTTCCACTTTGGAAAACTTTGAGGATCACTGTAAGTTTTATTTAAGTTTAAAAAATAGTCTGTAGCTCCAAAGTATATAGTTAGGCTGACATTGTTAAAAACATTTATATCGAACAATAAATAATAAATAGTTTTTTAACAACTAATTAATATACATTTTTTTTATAAATAATAATTTATAAAATGTATTTACCAAATAAAATTACTTTTTAAAATAATAAAAAACTATATAAGTCTTGTGGTCGAGTGATCTTGGATCAAATTTAATCACAAAAAAAACAAGAAATTAAAAACTTGATTAAAAATACAATAATTTCTCTGAGATTTATCTAATACTTGCTGATATTTATTTTATTTTACTGTTATAATAATCCAGTAATAAGGACTGATATAATAGTATGGTTGATTATTTTTTTTTAATAACATTTTTGTTCAATCAGTCAAAATTTTTAACAAATGATGCTCAACTTAAAAGTTAATCAAATACACAAATTACCGGTTATTAAACAAATTTCCAAAATGTATAGCGACTTTTTTTATTGCAAGAAAATTTAACATTACCATAAATGAAGTGTCTAAAAAATTATTATATGTAAATTTCATAGGTTTTATTTTCTACGGTTTTGCATCAAACCTTTTTATCACTTTTGATTATAATAATTCCCAAAGTCTTATGACCTTTTCTTTACAACTTTTTTTGTTGGCCTTTTTAATTGATTTACTTGTTATGGTTTTTTTTTTCTATTTTTTAGGTGTATTTAAAGAACTGGTAAACATGTGTCAGCCGAATAACAAGGAACAGCTGTTTAGATTGCACGGTGAAAAACTATTGAACGAACTCAACGATACCTGTGACTCGTGGGTAGTGCATTCGCCAGGGCGAGAAGTACTCGATAAAATAGCGACAGATGCCGGTATGCAGTTACGCGTAATGGTCTTATCACAGATAATAATTTATTAATAAAATCTTGGCTGTTTCGCATAGATTACGTCATATCCAACTACTATGAAACGTATCGACAAATATTATCCAAAACTCTTCAAAACTTGGAGAAAGACTCTCAATTCACAATGAAAATTTTAATCAACATCAGTATTTGTGTGGATAAAAATATCTTCGACGACAGTCAACTGTGGCAAATTTTATCGGGTAATTCGAGTCAGTGGACGCGATAGATTCGTATGATTTTTTTCATTCCACTACTTGTTGCAGACATTGTATTTCCCGCTCTTACGTGGAGACCTGGTCGATCGGCCGAAACGTTGCGTGCCGCGGCTTGTCTGTGTGCTGAGAAAATTGTTGACAAGTTTACTATGTTTACCGAAGACATTTTAAACCAAGTACTTCAATTATTTATGTTATATTCGTTGTCCAATTGTCAGTTACTGTAAACTGTTTAATTGATATTTTTTTTTTTTGTTATATTTCTACAGAGTTTTCCAATATTTTTGGCACTCGCTGACGATAACCACAGTAAAACTCGTGCGTACGCTTTGGACTGTTTACAGTATTTTGTGACAGCGGCTAAAAAAATGAATGTTATCGACGCCGATAAAATTAACAACGTAACCAGAGGTAAAAAATATGTCTGAAAAAAAACTTAATATTAATGGCTAAGATGGCATCATTTGTAAGTCACAAAGGAAACATTTTATGCGGGATAGGAGTTATAAGTTTTTCATATTTTTTTAAACCAAGTTTCTCGTGTTATAGTTTTTTTTTTTTTTAGTGTTAAAACTGATTTGTTTGTAAATTGTTGTGTATATTGCGTTATAATATTATACTATGTTACAAATTGTTTTAACGCAAATATTTCTCTGAAAGTAAAATAGGATTTGTCATAAGGGGCAATTATTTTTACCACGGGCATACAATTTCTAACGGACAATGAACATGTATAAATAATTGTTAATAATATAATAAAGAATAAAATTCAATAAACTAATTTATTTTATCTATTTACAATATTAAAATAAATATTACTTTTGTAAAAAGATTAAAAACATAAAAATAATATCGTTAACTGATTTTTTATTCACTATGAAAACTAAAATTTTAATTTTAAGTAAAATAAAAAAACCTCTATCTCGTGTTAAAAGTGAAATCTTTTTTAAATACTACTCATAATAATAATACCTTGATCAGATGTCAATAATAACAAGTTAAAAAAGATTTTCACTTACTCATAGTACAACATACTAAACTAAACTTATTAATGTCTTTTTTTTTTTTAGTACATTTAGTATCGTACATTTTTCATCAGTTAAACTATACTTAAATTGAACTATGAATAGTTTTAATTTTTCAAATAAAAAAGTTGTTCAATAAGTATTAATATGCATGAATTAAAAATTAATATTTGACACAATATACGATACATTGATATAATAATTATTTAAATACTCTTATCGTCTATTTCAAATAAATTGTAACGATACTATTATTATTACAAGCGCACTGAGTGAGTTTCCTAAGGCTACTCAACTTATAATATATTATTAATTAATAATTTTAATATTATTAATTTGTTTGATAAAAACAATAATTTTTTTTCTTAATAATAATAATAACAGGTATCTTTAGGAAAGTGTTGAATATACCTAAAACATTGTACGTCCAAAACTAACAAAAAAATTTTTCGACAAAAAAACAAGTCCTGGGTTTATCCGCTTAATGTTTAGATCATAATAAAATATTGATTTTATGTCTATTGTTTATCCAGATTTACCCACTGAACTTTTTAAACGATTTTGAGAAAAATAATTGTATTTACAACATTTGGGCTCTTAGCCATCGATATTATATTTTAATGTACTTTATTTCAGTTGCGCTGGCCCGTTTAAACGACAATCCGGGAATCACCAGGTTCAAAGCCATTATGTTACTGAAAGCCGTCTACACTAAACCACTTCCGACAGACTACTTGCTGCACTACGAAGGACACGTGACACAACTTTACAAGACCATGGTGATATTCTTAGACGACGAGAACATACAACAGCCGATACTCGGTACGAGATAATACGATACGTATTATTACGATACTACAATAGTTATTAAATATTGTATTTTATTTTGTAGAAAATTATGATATTTGTTATTGTTGTTTTTAGACGCTCTGAAAGAACTGTCATGGATGAAACCCGAATTTCTTTGTAAACATGTCAACGTAAATGTATTTTCACAAAAACATTACGCACAATGTTTATTAGACTTTTTGTGTGACGATCTTTGCCGAATGTAAAATCTCACGTCAATAACACGGCTAGTGTGTTATTTTTCTTCCACAGTCTTTTGTCTGCTCGAGTCATCGAACACGACTAATCTTTGTAAAATATAACTGTTTATTTGTTTTAATGTACACTTTCACTGTTAATCGTAATGTGAGAAAATGTATTAATTAATTTATGTATTATACAGTATAGAAAATAAAAACATTTAATAACAAACACGTTACATTATAATTGATTTCGAACATCAAAGTAAAGATACATGTTTGTATAATAATATTATGACTTAAATTTTCACATCTTGTAGTAAATATTTTCACAGATAATATTCTCCTAAATTGATCCAAAAATTTATTTTGAAAAAAAGTAACTGATTGTTTATTTTACATAATTTAACATTTTTGTTTTAAAATTGACTTTTATTGTTAAAAGTACCACATAAGTCTTACCTCCTCGGAAAATGTTAAAAATTAAAATAAATAAACCATATTTTATTATTATTTGCTTACGTTAATTAGTATTTCAACATAACTTCGGTATTTTTTTGTTCACAAATAAACTTTTTAATTATATTTGATCTCAAAAAAATTTAGCTTTTTTTTATTCTGTTTTCTGGGCATGTCCCTGGGTCGTCATCTTTACATGATTCAAGACATTTATTATTTAGTTTTAAATTGATATAATTCAATTGAATAATTAAGGAAACCCACTCATTTAATCAGTGGCGCCGAGTCAAGGTAAAAAAGGTGGTTCAATTCTAACCGAGAACCACCCACCCACCCAATTCATAATAAAAAAATTTTAAAACAAACTTTAAAAGGTCACACAACACAAAGCCGCTCGCGAGCCACACGACTCTTACATCTTGCAACACATTTGTTTATCAAATATTTTTTATTTTATTACATATATCTATTTCAATATTAGTCATTGTTCACAAAAATGTTGATAACAATTAATATGTATAAATTAATATGTACATTAATACAGTATAAAAAAATAGTAATAGTAGTTATCATTGATAGAATGATAATAATATTTAATATTGAATCAATGGTAGTTTTACCAATTTACTATTTAGTATTTATTATATACAACTTACAAGTATTATCAAAGCACCTCACCTAATTTTAGACTAGTAAAGTAAAAAATGATAATACACAAATGACAAAATATATGTAAACGTTTTTAATGATATTTATAAAAAAAATGTACCTAATACTTTTCTAGGACTAAATATGGCAATTAATAATTTCACCAACTCTTGGTTATTGTACTTAAAATCACATAAAATATTGCATTAAAACAATTGAACAATTGTGATTTTAAGTACAATAACCAAGAGTTGGTGAAATTATTATTTGATCCTAGAAAAGTATTAGGTACATTTTTTTTATAAATATCATTAAAAACGTTTACATATTTGTCATTTGTGTATTAACATTTTTTACTTACTAGTCTAAAATTAGGTTAGATGTTTTGATAATACAGATGTAGTACTGGCAAACTCATCTATAACCTCATTATAATCCACATCAATATCAGACTCGCAGGAAATAATCATTAATTGTTCTAAGCGGTCCTGAGAAGTCGTGGTTCTTAAACGATTTTTGATGATTTTTGTTATATGATAATTTAAGTATAAAACCTAGAAAACTGTTAATTTCCAACAAAAGTTATGTGAATAATTCTTGTTTAGTGTTTTGAGCTGTTTTTGAAAATTATTTGTATGTGTAGTAAAAAAAAATTAATTATGTTTTCTATAAAGAATCAACTGCACGAGAAAAATGTGAGTCATTATAAACATTCGTCTGCCAACATTTCTTCAATCTGATTGATCTTCATTCCTCGTGTTTCGGGTACGTATATCTTTACAAAGAAGCCGCTAATGATACAAGCTAAAGTGAACATCCACAAGATCGCCGAATTAGACGAGTAAGCTTGATCGTTGTAAAAAACGCACAGCACCAGAAACATGGCGATTTTGCCGCACGTGTAGAAAAGTCCTGCTGCCCATTTCATTACCTGTAAAATTCAAAGTTATTGTTATTTTCCTTCGAGTGTTTAACCTTATACGTTGCAATTGGGTAATGATATAAATAGCAAGTCAGTGGGTTCATATGATTTGATAATACCATGTAAATGACTATACAAATTAATTTTAAGTTTGTTTAATTTTTTATTTAAGTAGTTATAGGAAATGTTAGAAACACAATACCTATCTTAATCTGGTTTGTTATATTGGATTGTAAAAGTTTTGACAGAATCCATACTTACATTTAAGGTGGTGATTTCCGAGAAAATTATCATAACGATAGGGCCCCAGCCGATGAAGTAGAAACTAGCATACGATGATATAAAAAAAAACGGTGCGTACTCCATGATCATATATTCCGGCAAGCTGCTCGACGAAACGTGATAGGCTATTAACATCAATAGACTTGTTCCCATGCCGAACGAAGAGATCATCAACAAGGTTCTTCTTCCACAAAACTCAACCAATTCAATAACTATCATACAAAGTATGACCTAAAAATGAATGGTATGTCTAAGTAAATTGTTAAATTGAAAGTTGTTTGCAGAAGTTTTTTTTTTCAAAGAATAGAGTATAAAATATTCCTAACATCAAGTATAAGTGACCCAAAACTCAAGTTGCAGGAGTGCCTATTTATCATAACATTACTGATATAGTAAACATTGTCACTCCATCGACAAATTATACAGTAGGACAATCGCAGTTGTCCAATTAGAGATTTGACTGCAGTTAGTGAAATTTGTGTTGCCGAGTGTTTAAGAGAAAACGGACTTATGTAGGTGGATTCGAATCCTGTCCACCGGTGCGAGACGTGTCACTCCCTCTTCTCTAATTATTGTAATATTATATTTATAACGAGGGATCAGACCCGGGTGCTATCAAAAATAATTAGACTTCATAGGTTTGGTTTGGAAGTAACGATAGCCACCAGCCAAGCAAAATATTATTATTGCTAATATGTCAGGAAAAAGCCATCGTTAGACTTCCTACTCAGAAAACACGCAGAAAGCATCTAGTTCTTACCTGAAGGATACCCAAGCATATCATCATTACTCGTGGTATAGGAGAACTCTCGTTAAGGTCACCGATCGGTAGCATAGTTTGTTCCATGTACATTATTAACAAATTGACGCCACACAGTTGTTGAAAAACCATCAGTCCCAACCCGATGACGGTAACCCGTTGAGTGTGTTTTCGGAGTAAAATTTCTGACAACGAACACTTGGTATCCTGGAACTTTCTCATGAATTTCTACAGTAGTATAATTCCAGTTAAAATAACGTCCTGGTGGTAACACAATGGTCAACAGCTGACTTTACTTGGAGACCAGTATAGCACGCGTCTGCGTTGAACTCCAGACCTTTGATTTGGCGCATGACACGTTTTACATTTTCGGGTTCTTGGTAGTCAAATATGAAGTACGGCGATTCGGGTATGAAATAAACCAAGAATAAATGCAATGTGGACCAATATCGATTAACAATGATCGTATTATTATAGCTGATGTTGATCACTCCAAATGTTAACACAGTAAACATTCCCAAACAAATATACATTTGATGCATCGTCAGCATCCTAGCTGCGCAAATCGGATTTCGGACGTTAGTCAGTTATTAGTGTAGATTTTTTCCCCAGTAATGATGTCGGAGAAAAAACGTGTTAAATTATATAAAAACATAAATCCGCAAAGCTCGTACAATTTCTCTACTCCGCAAGAACAACATTGAATTATGGATATGTTCAAAAATTTGATAACTAACCCTTTTTTTCTTGCTCTTCTTGTCTCTCTAACCCTCCCTTTCTTTCCTGAATATCAGATTTCCGTATCCAGTTACTAGGTTACTAAACTACAAACACGTACCTAAATCAAAATAGAGACTTTGTGACGTTGACAATAATTATGATCCCCAATCCCTACTAGGCCATAACATAACCATGTTAATAAAAAAGAATTTTTTTTTTTACTATGAAAAGGTAAATTTTTCGACCGGTGCTTTGTAATAATATTTCGAGTAAGTTTTTACCTTTAATTTCAGAATCCGTTATCTGCGTTATGTACATAGGTATTAGCAAGGTTAACCCGCCACAGCCTACACCTTGCACCAGTCGGCCCACCCATACCATGTATCGGGTTTCGCACACGATCGGATCGAATTGGGTGAGAATCAGCCAACCCGCGGAAATGAAAACGTCGTAGATGGCCATCGACCACTTGAAGCCGACCCATTCGACCAAAGGCGTTTGGAGAAAACCGCCAACGGTCGCTCCTAAACAGTAGAACGCCGCTATCCATCCTACAGTATTCTCCACAATGTCACCGCTGAGACTACTACTTTTACCGTCAAAGTGGATTATTCGGCTGGCCACTATTGTGTTCAATCCTATCGAAGCACCTATTCCCATGCCTGCCATACCGCCTAATGATATAACAATAAACAGTAAAGCAACGGGTGTCACCGGTTAGGTTAGGTAATATAATTAAATAGAGCCCAACGGGGATTTGGCCTTACTCATTATAGAATAAGATAATTGAGGTAACATGCGACTCGACCAGATGTATCCAGATTTGCAGTCCGAGGTGTTACAGCTCTTTGTCCAGTTACTCATCTCAACGCCGAATTTACTGTACAGCACGCATCGGTTTTCCCAAGAAAATGTACTCGGTAAACTTACAAGTACTATTTCAAAAATGGCAATCTTAAATAGATGGGAACTACAACATTTCTATAGTTACTGTAATGTTGTCATTAATACAATCAGTTGTCATACTCGATGTTATTAAAATACATTATAAATTATGAAATTAATTTTAAAATTAATTTTTACGTTTCTCTTACGCCACAGCAAATAGCAAAAAGTTAATAGATTAAAAACGTATTACACAATTTGGCCTCAAGATAATTCTATCGAGCAAAATTTTTTGGAAATTTATTTAGAATGTAAACCTGGTTTATCTTAAAAGTTAAATTTTAGCAATTAATAGTTAGACACTTGTAAATATCTTAAAACATCAAAACTTACCTAAACTAAAAATAATGCATTTTTAAAGCTTCGATGCAAATCAGTGAAGGTATCGGTTTTACAATACAGTCCTTGTGTTCAACCCGCAGAGGACTTATAATTAGTGTCGAACACAGTAAAGGACAGTCGATAACCAGATTTGGATAACTATTTTTAAAGTTAGGATGGTAAGGGAAGTGTGGTTAGGAAATGCGCGCAGATAAAAATAATACTACACTCCTCCTTTCCTCCTGCC